CCCCGCCGCTGCTGAATCGACGGGATTGCCGCAGTCTGGGTTGCTCCTAGGAGGATTACACTCCATTTTAGGAAGCTAGAAGTAACAGTCATAGCAACCTTTAGAGAATTTGGCTGCCCTATAAATACTTTATACCGGGCGGAGTATGCCTGCAATAAAAAGATGTTCCTTAAAAAGTTGTACCAGAAGAGGGAGCCACAGAAGCAATTTATACAAACTTCTATGGCTCAATTGACCGTCTCTACTGGCATTGAGTCTGGGGATTGGACATGACCCGACCACAAAGCTCTGCACGCATTTTGCCGGTTGCTGTGACGCCAGTAGCTTCCTCTCGCCACGATAACGCATTTGTTGATAGATCATAAGTAGATCACTAGATGGCGGGGGCCGGATAAATTCTGGTCTCTCCCCCACACAATTACCCTTCCCCGCACAATTTCCCTGATGATCAGCGCTCGAAAGGCGAAAATTGGAGAGTTAAGCTTCGGCTTCCGCATAGCTTCTTGTACCCAGACTAACAAAGCGCTCACTGAGTTCTCGCATACCAGATTCGATAAATTGGTCCTAAGAACTTAGCCAAAAGTCGGCAACCAAAGCTTATGTTGGAACCTGCTCTTCAAGCATGAGAACAAGTTTCCTCCAAATTTTGAGAGCATTCCACTGGCTCTCTTGTAGGTGTACATGTAAAAGCAATAGTTGCCCATGCGCAAGACTCCAGCTTCTAAAGGACCACAAAGTGCCCAGACTATGAGAAAGGAGGATGCATCACAGCTTCCAGAGCATATTTGAAGCGTGGAGGAAGTTCAGACGAGTGTCGATAGATTGGGAGTGCAACTCTTGAGATCTGCCGACGGTTGAATTCTCCAATTAGCCGATACATAAGATTGGAATGTGTAAGCGCATGGAGTGGTATCCGTGCCATATGCACCCTCCCCGCTCTGCTGTGAGGGTGCGCTGCACTGTAACCTCAGATTTCAGTGTAACTGTAGATTTCTTAATAAAATCATGTTTTTGAGGCTATTCCCAACGCCTATCTAGTTAAAAAAAAGAAACCCTGCTCATCTGCTGCCTCTGCTCATCTATTTAATACCTCATTCTCCTGTATAGGTGCTGGTGGGGGTTTCTTACTATGAACTTTCTCCCACTGCCTTTATAACCTTCTATCCTCTGCCACTGCCTCCTTAGCCCTCCTCTGTCTGCGAACCAGGTCCATCCACAGGGGCGAAGTGAGATCTGCTAAAGAGGAAGCATCTAGGGAAGTCGTATGAAAAAGAAGATTGCTTGAATCGTGAAACTAGCAGTCTGCGCGGTATAATGTGTACCTAGCATCACGTGTTTCACCACTATAGTAGCTATGATACAGAATGCGTCCTTCGCTTAGCTAGCACTCAAAAGGGGGTAGACTGCGGCAACTCCCACGGAACTAAAATATCTTTGGTCCCATTTTCCCGTTCCCGTTTTCCCATGGAAGTTCCATGGGGTACCTAGTCCTGTCCACGGGAAGTCCCATTACTCGGGCCAAGTCCAAATTTTGTGCATAACTCACCCAATAGGATAGATAATTTGCTGACTGGTCATCATAAGATAACATAATCAGTAAGCAAGCGGGCATAACGGAGCAGGCCACCTTACGTGGTTTTTTGGCCAGAGTTGAAATCGAAGGGTAGCCACAACCACTGAAATCATGATTCTATTGCTAACGCTAATTATTCTTATGCTCTGGATATTATAATCACTTATAAGTTATAATATAGCAGTCACTACAGCACAGGGGTGCCATTTAGAGATGTATTCTATATCTACTACCTAGATAGCATTATCAGCCTGAATTGATTCCTCTATTGAATGAACTCCTAGCCTTCCTAGACAGAGAATCTGTTAGAGGCTTGCAGTAAGGCTTAAAGGTATATATATGGAAGCTGGGCATGATTGGCCATAGGGATCAATCATAGTAGGGCTTTTGCCTCAGTGGTTAACCATGTGCAGCCCAGCGCAAGGTTCTCACATAGGAGGACTGACGACTATATATATAATCTCTAAGTAGCTTCTTAAGTGTACTTTCCTGCTTTTTTAGCTGCGTAAGATTATAAAGTGTTTTTAGGATAGAATCTATTAATTAGCTACCTAGTGGTGTTATATAAATACTTAAAAGTACTGACGATTTATATAACTCTCTTAGGTAACTTACTCTCTAAGGCAGTCTATAGCAGTTATTGATAGTAAATAAAAAGAAGCCTTAAGAAGACTACAATAGACTATATAATAATAGAAGTACTAAAAAGTCCATCCTAATAATTTTATGGTGCAAAAGTTTCTTATTAGCCTCAAGATATGTCCACAAATGGGTGTAAGTGGTCAAGCGCACCTGCGTTGCTGCTCTTCTGAAAGACCTACTTATATTAGGACTGTTAGGTTGCAGCGTTGTGTATACTAGTTAAACCTTCAGTGTTTATTTTTACTATGAGCTTTAGATGAGCCATTCTAAATGCTCCAGACAGGCTGCATTATCATTAATTCAAGGTCAAGTCCAGATAACTCATAGCCATTATTTAATTAAAATCCAGTTGACAATGTGAGATCTTATCTCTAAGTCCAGTCCACAAATCAGTACAGTGTATATGATGAGGGCAGTATCACTATGCAGAGTATTATTACTTCTAAGGAAGCATTCGTCTCGCGTCTTCGGGCCTCACCAGAAGAGAGCGCCGATCATTTCTTGCATAACGGTTAAGCGACCTTCTCCTTGGGTCAGTTGCTGAAGTTCAACTCGGGTGTCTTGAACTTAGCAGCAGAACGCTCAGGTGCTTTTCTCGTCGAATGCTCCGTATAATGAGCCAGATCCAGAATGTTCTCCCACTTAGCTATTTTTCCTATGTGAGCTTGGTAAGCAAGCACAAAGCATATTCGAAGTCTCTGAAGGATGCAAACTGCTCMAATCAACTGCAGGCTCGAACCGCATATTGTATGAATTATGGCGCCGACCAACCATGACAGAAAATGCAATCTATTTTGCCTAAATCCTGACTTGCATTCATGAATCTGATTTTCTCCCCAATGAACTGGGATCCAATTTTATACCACGGCTGGTCTTTTATGGTGTTTTGGCCACGCTCAGATCCTAATAGTGTTAAAAAGAAAATGTCTACTTTACGATGGAATTACCCTTTCAGAGGTCTGAGCATATTAATATTCTACCCTGCGCATCATTCATGAGCTCAGCTGCGCCTGTGCTACGCCAGGTCGTAGCTGGAGGGTACGTCTCAGCATATACTCCTATCTCTGAATCCCGAACCACTTCACAGATCCAAGCAAGGACCATATCAAGCCACATAAAGTGAACAGAATCTCCACTCAATTTGAAGTATGCCCTCTCTCCTACATGGCAACTGAGACACGGGTTTAGGCAAAACTTGGGAACGAAGATGGAGTGAGAAAGTTATTTACTTTGTACACGAAGATGATTAAAAATCTCGCGCAATTAGATGAGCAAATTATAGGAGGATATCACAAGTTTGCATTTGCATCCTTTCAGATCCTTCATCTATGGATACAGGGTCCACAGGAGAGACTTTGTCGAGGAGTAAGGGAGACTAGTATGCTGAGAGTCAATAAGGAAGTTGTCCGAAACTAGCTGCCTAGCCCTTCATGGAGAGAAGCGCGGTCCTTCCATAGACCACCGGCTTTTGGCTCCAAAGTTTATTTAAGTCTTAGAATCCTTATGCTCATTCTCCACAATTTTTTTACTGTCTCATCCAAAAGGGCACACGGGTGACCTGCTTTCGTTTCCCCCGCCAGTCTAGACTGGATGCTATGCTACTAGATTTAATAGTATGCTAGCTAAGCTATTGGCCATAATGCTCCGTCAGACTAATAGATGGATGGTATGCAAAATATTTTTTACGCTGAGTAGCTTCAATATTTAGAAAATATATGCTAGCAATCTCCTGAGATCCAGCTCTATTTATTTTACTACTGATTACTGATACGCTTAGATGTGTTTACATCTAGCTGCACTGTGAGAAAGAGCATTCCCTAAAGAATAACTCTCTAGCAGATATCGTCGGCAGGAAAATTCCCAATGACATATACTATTGTAGCTCGGTAACGGGTGTAGTGGAAAAATCCTGCTTAACTAGGGCTGTCTTTGTATAATTTCCGGAGAAAGCATAATAGATCAAAAAGTCCGAAACACGCTAATCAAGGGACCTCGATCGGGCAAGAAGACCCACAAATCGAAGCTCTGCAAGATGAATTTATCCACCGGTAGGGAATAGATATGCTTTAGATGAATTGAAACCAGTATAATAAGTGCATGCTGTATGCTTGCTTACTTTAAATTGCCAAGTTGGCACAAAAGGATCTATCACCCATCCTCATTCAACATTTATTGGTTTCTTGATATAGTTAGTCACTTGAACACGTTCTTCTGTTAGGGTCTGGCTCGGAATTCTCCCTAGGCGTGAATCTAGAGTATTTAGGCTCACAATGTGGACCGAACAGGAAATATTTAAGGGATGTGGCTGTTTCAAGCAAGCGGGGCTTGGGACCTAATCTAATCTGGATGTTTACTGCAGCAAACCCTAAATACGAGCTGGCGCATAAACACATACACTTCCAACCAACCACCAATGAAGCTCCAGCACTAGTTCATGTGGTAGCTTTGATGGAAGCCGGAGCTACTACCATGCACTAGTCGTGATTGATTGCTCGTGGGATCTAGCAAGCCAATAATCAAGCTCTTGATATGTATCTTTTGGCTGGAAATGCCAGCCAGAATCGCAGATGTATACTCTGTAGTGCCGACTGATATCGAGATCTTTGAGCGGCCTGTTTGCGGCCTTTTTCTTCCTCTTCTTTTTTCCAGACAGATTGAGCATCCTCGCAGTCATAACTCTSCTACTATCCAGATTCAGGTTATAAATCTGGGCTTTCCCTCCTTAATTGTCTCTTTCTCCTACTGTTCATCCCCCTACTGGTCTCTACAATCAGTCGTGCCAAACATGTACTGGAAAACTGCTATCGCATGCCTCACCGGTCTAAGTACCGTGGTCAATGCTGGTATTCACGGTCAACCCAAGAAAGGGAGATGCCCAGCCGGTCATGCCCTGACTACCTACTTTGTCACCGTTACAGAAAGCTCAACCACGGTGGTCAAACCCTGGACGGCTGGACTGTCTACAGCCATCAGTCAGTCGACAGTTTCTACCTGGGATGGGTCGTCGACAATTTCTTCGTCCATGTCCAGTTTCGAGGCAACAAAGACAGACTCCAGTGGATCTGGTCCTTCGATCTCGACCACTTTGCCATCTACTCCCGCAGAGAAACCATTGAGCTCGCCCACTATTATTTCCGATGCAGTCGTCAATGCTACAGCCTCAGTGCTTGAATCGTCTCCACCATCGGCGTCATATTTGAAAGGTTCACAGACCTCTGTGGTTGAAGTGTCTCAAACATCGGCATCGTCTTCGCAAGAGTCGCAGACACCGCTAGTCGGTGGCGTCGTCAGCGGACAGGCTACTTCCTATAATGGTGGCGACGTGGATGGAACATGCATGTTTTCGACTGCCGACTACACCTTGCCGGCTGGGATATATGGTGCGGCTCTTTCCGTGGACAACTGGGACAGTGCAGCTTGGTGCGGTGCATGCCTCTCCGTTGTTGGACCAAAAGGCAACTCCATCAAAATCATGGTGAGTGGAGAAGTGTCTCTGTTTAGTTGATGTCCATTATCAATTTGATTCTGACTGTTAGCGTTGTTTGCCCCAGATTGTCAACCAATGTCCCGGAACTTGTGGCCTGAACAATATTGATTTGCTGCCCAACGGCTTCCAACAATTGGCAGATCTCAAAGTCGGCCGAATTGACGTGAAGTGGGATATCGTGAAGTGCGATATCAGCAGTCCGCTATTCCTGAAAACAAAGACGGGGTCCTCGAAATACTGGTTTAGTATTCAAGTTGTCAACTCGAACGTCCCAGTTAAATCGCTGGAGGTTAGTACCGACGGTGGACAAACGTGGCAGTCTACGATCCGTAAAGACTACAACTTCTTCGAAAACCCTAGCGGCTTTGGGACAGATTTTGTTGATGTCCGGATAACCAGCGTTACCGGCGAGACAATTGTGGTGAACAATGTCAGCAGCGTTTCAGAGACCCGAACAGATGCTACCTCGAACTTTAATTAAATAGTAAGAGGCATATAGGGCGCTTACCATTTTCTTCTTTCTTTCTTCCTATTTTTATTTTTTTTTTTTTTGTTTCTTTTTTCCTCCCTTTCTTTCTCGTTTCCCACCGTCCTCCGATGGGACAGTATTTTTGGTAGCAGGGTACCTTCCTCTGTCGGAGCTATTAACTATCCTATTGTATGGGGTATGAGGAATACGAGAATATACTTTCCTTCTTAGCATAGAGGATGCTGCGTTTCCCCGGCCCCTTTTTCATGAGTTCTCTTCATTTTCTTTTCTTTTACAAAGCTTTTTAATCTGTAGTCTAGAGTAATCTCGGATGTGGGATAATAAACTTTGAAATTTTTCATGGAACGGGACTCTATATGAGCTCTTTTGCGAGCAAATAGCTCCAGCCTATGCTCCAAAGCGTGCCGGAGGAGGCTAAGGCAAATTGGTTGACCAGGAAGAAACTTGGATTCAATGAAGTCCAAGTTTAGTCGCCGTCTGACAAGCATGCCGATGCAAGACTGACAAAGTTGGTGGTGCCAAATGGGCAAATTGAATTCCCGGCACTGACTAGCTGTGGGGAGGATAGCAAACCAAGAGATCAATATTTGAGGATAGAAAAATTAAAAACTGGATACAACCCGGAGCTCAGTGTTCTGCTTTCTGAACCTCCTGCTTCATCTGGTGCAAGTTTGGCAAGGTTGACAATATGGGAGTTCCCAGGGTTCTTACTGGATTCCAAGCAATTCACTTGACAACACCGATGAACGTATAATTCAGCCTCAAGGGACACTTAAGGGTTCAGCGTTGTCAACCTGATCTAAAGGCTAAATTCAGGAGGCCCAAGTACCTAGGACCACAGGGATCCCCACTGGCTTCTCTACAAACAAGGAAAATTTCCTCGAAGCTATCAGAAGGTGGCATTCACCTCGACATCACAGGCAGGTTTGGTATTGCGCAAGGCGATTGGGCTATGACGATGATCCTCATGGCTCGTACAAAGTTAGTCTAATGCCTACACGCCTTTCCCCTGCTTAATTGAACGAGAACCCGGGAATTACGAAAGAGATTGCAGGGAACATCCTGCTTGGTGGTGGCAATCTTCACAATTCCAGGGGTAATTAGCAGCGTGGGAAGACATGTGACCCCATCACTTGCTCCAGTGCACTCATTACAACAATTAATAAATGAATCTTAGGTTACCTAGCCGTGTGTAAAGAGTCAAGTTTCTATTTAGATTTATTAAAATTTCATATTCCGGTCAATTAGCTTTACACCTAGAAATGTCAGCTGACAGATGCAGCTACGTATGAGGATTCTCTTGTGTACAATGTGTTGTGCTTCAAAGTTAATATATATGGTCAGAATTAAATAACATGAAGTAGAAACGAATGAGACTTGAACGCAGCTACTTGGAAAACCTCAACAGCCACATACCCCTTAAGATGTGTCTTCCTAAATTGAAATTGCATAAGAAAGAAACAGGAATTCAAATGCACTGGTCCTCTGTCCCTCTAGGAGACATCCGCCTTGCACCTGCATTAGTTGACTGTAATGACATACTCACCAGTTGTCAACTGAGCATTCGATCCAAGGAAAGGCTCGGTCCCAGCAGCGATGCCGCTCACATACAGGCTGGAGGGCAAGCCCTGGCTCTGAATCAAGTACTTGAAAAAGTCGAGAATGTCAGCATTGAACGAAGTCTGCTCGCTGTGAGCGACGAAGCTGAAGACAGTCGTAGCCCCATTCGGGCCTTTGAAGAGGTTCCATGCAGTGCCAGCAATCGTGACTGTAGCGATTGGTGAACCCGTGCTGCTTATTGGGCCAGCACCGCCAATAGCAGCAAGCCAGATCATGATCTCAAATGCCGCAGAGCCCCCGGGAGAGTAGCTGGTGAATATGTCATAAGCAACATCGGCAACAATATTAGAACCAGTGTAACTGTAAACGTAGAGTGCCATCAGTCGGTGTTCCTGCATGACGCGGGACTCAGAAGAAAACATAGTAAAGACTTGAACAGAGCTGAAGTCACTTACCTCCATTTCCAGACAGTCGGGATACTCGAAATGGAACTAAGTTGCCTTGCACCAAAAGTGTAACCCGCATTGGCGTATGATTTCACACTGCTTGGAGCTCCTTGCCAGTTCCAGGACGTGTGCCATGATATCACATTTCCACCCTGATAGTCCAAGCCAGTGCACTGCCACCCAGATGTAGCGCTCGCCTCACCCCAGAGGTTCTGGTAAATGGTATAGGCTCCGGCAGAGACTGAGTCCCACTGTCCACAGAGGTCCCGCTTAGATAGTGCAGAACCACTGACTGCAGAACCCAAGACGCCAAGGGACAGGACTGGAATAGACAGAGAGAATCTCATTATGCTTGCACAGTTTAAGAGACAGTAAATGATATGTTGGAAAAGAATATATAGATGTGATGCAGGAGTATGGTGGATTTGCTGGTGACCAATTCGCGCTGTGTCCAAAGCAAGTCACTGAGCAGGGTCTTGCCAGCTTTATATCTCTATGTCCATCCTACTGATACTTGAAAAATATGCCATAGTATGGGAAACTACCGGTGGCTGAAACAGTTTAGGAATAAGAACTTCAGGCTCGGACCCTCTCACAAACTAGAACACATAGGAGCCCCCTTTGCACCCATATCACGCGCCCCTCCTTCCACCACCCTGCAGTTCTCAGATGAATGCATCAGTCCCCAGAAGAGCCCCTAAACCAGGTAGCGCGTCAATTTATTTAACTTCTGCAAGAACAAAACCGTCTCCGATTACGCTGAGGCACCATAAGAACAAGCATGGGAACTTGAATCTCACAAAGGCAAGCCTCTCGGCAGAAGTGCTAGTCTATCAACAAATTGCAACTACAAGCTAGTTCCAAACTAATATACGAGTGCCACTTGGGTCATTCTCTGCGCTAAGGAAAAGGGAACAATTCGGACAAAATACTTCATTTGGCCGACTATCCGGGCTTTGAGACTAAAGGCCAGTACGCCACCTAATGCGCATATTGGCAAGTTCATACTGCTTTCCCCTGGTAATTCCGGGGGTCTCTATCTCAGATTCCTTCATCCTTAACCCTACGGGAGAAGATCACTGGGATTGATTTATCATGGCTTTGATTTTTATTTGGACGCTTGAAAAAGTTGCCTAGTGTTACCGATCGGGAAGGGTCCATCAAATGTAGCMAGATCTAAGACGGTCATGATGCAAAGTAGACACTTTAATTGCCGGCATACACCAAGGTTGCCGCACATCCCCCCTTTCGAAGATTGGATCATTTCATGGTGAGATTTGCCTGAATTACATTCGACAAGCGTTTCATCCATAGTATCAAGCCCCGCACTTGAAACCTTATTTTCGACTGCACGAACACGTGGAAAAGGGAAAGGGAGACAAAGCAGCGATCTTCCCCTGAACTGGATCGGACCGGTGGGGAAGGACAACCGGAAATGGCCTCGCACACTCTCCATCCACCGGAGCAGAATAGCCTGCGGGATTTACCTGTTCTGAGTCTAACCACAGTATTATGGTACGGACCGATGACCAAGATGACGATTTCATAAAAACAGCTTGTACCCGCTTTACTCTGCTTACTGGCTTTCTATCCCATGAACTCTGTGCTCTTGTTATGTTGTTCTTTGGTGCTCTGTGCCTAGGAGTTGGGCTGATAACCAAGACAAGGTTTGACTACTCTAGTTATTCTAAGGAATATATATTCACTTTCAACGTTATAATAGAAAGACATTCCACTTGTTACGCTCTAGTTTCCACTGCTCCCTACTTATTCTCTCTGATCCTCTCAACCACTGTAGGCTGGTCATTTATTCCGTACCTCCCAACAAGCTTGCGGAATTGTTGGAGATGTCATCTTTGGTGACACTATTGTCTCAGCAAGCTGTCCTCATTCCTCCCTGAATGTCAATCAAAAATGGCCCATGGTTTGATTCGCAGCATTGTATATATGGATGATCGCAATATCCCCGACGAAACTACGTATGCGCAAGAGAGCTGCTGAATATCGCTTGAATGGCTGCAATTTGGAGAAGGCCAAAGGCGACTAGTCTGCAATAACGAGTTTCTTGCATATAAAACCCGACACGCCATCTAATGAGGACACTTTCAACTTACCCAGAAATTACCAAATACACCAACTACCAACCGTGAAGCACGCGTTGAAGGCCTCCCATCGTCGCTCGAACTCGTGCAGTTTCTTGCGGAGCGTGGGTGAACAGAGTTTGTGAATGGAGAAAAGGGACCAGCCGCCCTTAAAGGTGTGCCCCCAAATCTCGTTCCGCAGATTGATTAGCTCGACCAGTTCCTCGTTCATCGCTTCTGGGAGCTCGCCATAAATGATGTCACTAAGGACCCAGAAGGGGATCGAGTTGAGATCCTCGGTTCGTCTCAAATGGAGCTGCTTAAGGCGTTGTTGCTCACGGCGCTGTTCCAAGTCAGCGAAGTGCTGTCGCACACTCGACGTTACCAGGGAGACATATGCTGTGGCTTTCTGGCCAAATGGGGGTGCCGCGACCGCGTGGACACGCTTCCAGTCGCTTCAGCTCAGCAGGCCGACACCATCTCCGAGAAGCGCCGCCAAAACCCATCCAGCATCTGCGCCTCCAGCCTTGAGATGGGTGTCGGACGGATTCCCTGTAGATAGTCCTGATGTCATCGGGCCGCGTCAGAACACTGCCCTTTGTCAATATCAAAGCCCTCCAAGAGGATTTTACACTGTTGCATACATTTCCGGGACAAAGCCAGTCCAGATCCGGTAGACTGGGCCATATTGCTTCGCCCACTCGCGCGAGACGGTCCCTCCGTCAAGGAACTTGGCACTCCCCTTACCATTAGGGAACTTATAAGGACGACTGGAAATCTGAGATCGACCGTCGACGGATTTGATGGGGTAACGCCATCGCACGTATTTCTATAAAGCGTTAGAGACCCCATTTTGATACACCCCACGGTTCTATTACTGACATCGATAACATTGACAGGACCAAATTAGCCCAGCTGCCGGGATCAAAAGCTCTCCAAACGAAGACCACCACGGATGCGAATATCACTTGAGACCAGACCAATGCTTCGCCGGGTATATTTTCAACCACAGTGAGGCCTGAGCCTACAGAAAAATTGGAAAGACTGAGAGATCGGTCGACGGTAGTCAAACATGGGCTTCCCTAGGGGGTATATGTGGATGGAAATTGGGCAGACAATTGCGCCATCGGCACGACGGGAGGGTCAGGGTCAGCGGTTCGCATGACCGTCTGACACAGGCTCTCTCCCTGCTTGAGAACATCCTTCTGCAAGGGGCCTTGCAGGGCTCTCAACTTAAGTGAGGAATAACCTCAGAAACCCGCAATGAAGAGGCAGTGTATATTCCAGAAGGACGTGCGTGCGTAGCTGTTCCACCCACATTAATGGCACTATTTTTGGCACCTTTGCATTCACTTTCAGGAGGGCTCCTCTCATTTGCCTATTCAAAATCAGGCCCTTATGTTACTGTATACACAAACCCCGCCGCCAGTATGTTGAAGGCATAACTACAATAGTGGTGTTCGATAGGCCTACATTGGGGTCAAAGCCTGCTTCTCCAGGTTTCTTAACTGTCTTGTATAAGCTACCCAACCCTTAAGCTGCCAGGTCCAGTTGCTCTTCTCTCTTGCAGCGAGCTGCTAACCTCCCTTGAGGTAAGTATTGTCAAAAATCCGAGAGGGCCACAAAGAAATATGGCATTAGTGAGTATCTAGCACTCTAGCTGCATGAACCAGACAAGACCCTCTGCATTGTATGCTTTAGCTTCTTGAAGCCCTAGCCCCTCATGTAAAACACATCACTACGGGTGGCTAGTGTGATTTATGCCTAACTTCTGGCCTTAACCCATTGTTTTGATTTCATGATTATAGTCGGTCTTCAGGCTGTAGGGTATTTCTATGAGGACGCTTAAAATTTTCGTACATTAGGCCTTCCGGTGGGACCCGCTGGGATTCAATTCCTTCGCAGTGGTCTGTTCTCAAAGTCTGGCGATCAGCAACTGCCAGTTTAGTCACACCTCGGCCTTGCATCCTCGAGATGCCCGTAGCAGTGCCAAGAGGCCCTCTAATTTGAGAAACATGCAGGCGATATCATAGCTTTTATTAGTTTCCTGAAGCGCGCATGCCAGTTACTTGCAACCTATTGAAGAATAGAACCTGGTCTCCCCTATCACCCAGTGGCTGTATGGGCTTTTCGTCGCACATAAAAGGAGAAACTGTATTTCAATCCAAGAAATTGGCTGTACTCATGTCCCTATCACAGTAGAAGCAGTTCACCTCCAATTAGTGGTAGGAAATTCCGAGCCGAGACTACTCCGTACAGGCTGTAGAAAAGGTGGGAAAACAATACTAATCTATTTCAAAAAGATTGATTTAATATATATAGGGTTGAATGGGTGGTGGTTAGAAATCATTCTTAAACCATTAATTATCAAAAGTTGATGCACATATATATACCACTACTACTTTCATACCATCCCCTAATAGAGATGATTATTCCCTTATATCTCAGCAACAACTAAATATTTTGAATTAATATGCTCTATTTAGATAGCCTAGATCAGCAGTTATTTAGTGATATCAAAATTTCTAGAGAAATCCTAGAAACTAGTGATTACTAAGCAAAATGGATTGGGCGGTTTCGCCTAATCCATTATCCAATGAATCTATAACCAACAGTTTTCACCAAATGGATTTAGTTTTAGGGGTAGGGAAACCAGTGCAGTTCCCCAGGCTAGGCACTGAGGCCACTGTGAGTTCAGTAAGGGTTGGAACCGTTGGATATGATTATAGCGGTTCAGTTATGACTCCACTAATCCTTAATTCTTTTTATAATATACTATTATTAGATTACCCTCTTTAAGCTATATTAAATAGTATAGTTTTTATTACGATAAGCTATAGTTATGGTGTTGACCTAATCCCTTGACTCCCTATATAGAAGACCAAAATGAACAGGTTTAGAGCTGTTATGGCTCTGTGTTAGAGTGGTGAAGGGCCGCTAAGGGCTTATCAGTTGTGATCAATAATGATGCATATCCTGGATCCGGACATAACGCTAGATCAAGTGCATGACGGTCTGCCTTCCTCTCCTTCAGCTAGAGCCGAAGGCCAAGTGGCGATGATGGCGCACGACGACGGGCCAGGAGATGCTCAATTGGGTGTTTCACAGGATTAAAAATCAAGTCGTCAACCATTTGGAAGACCCCGTTTCCAAAGGACGCCGACGTCGAAAGAGTAAGCACAGGAGTAACTTCAGATCTCAAAATAAGGGAAGAAAGTTGGCATTCAGCTGGTTGAGCCATGAGAGAATTCTTGCTAACTGATCAGTCAAATCAGAATCCTGAAGAAGATAGTAAATGCATTACTACAAGCTGTAAAAATGCTTTGTCATTAGGAAATCCCGCGTAATCAAGCTCCCCCCAAAACACTATTTTTCAGACCTCTGCACAGGGCCTGGTGTCGATCATGTACCAATAATGGTCAATCCACGTTCCCTCTCGTCCAAGGTTCCCATCTGTGCTGTTGATCCCGTCGATACGTTGAATGTCAGTAGTCATAACAGGAAGCCCGTGACCGCTTGTGATCCAGTACTCAGGAGTCAATTGACTCCATTCACGGGCTAATGGCCATTCCCATTTGAGACGCGTAGGACCACTTGAAACGATATCACTACGATGAGTGATGCGGTAGTTATCACCAGCAGTCTGTTCTGATACGAACTTGGCAAACTCATAGTTCCCTACTGATGGGGCTCCGAATGTATACTGCATCATATCAGATGGATGATGTGTCTCACTAGGGTGTGAAATGACGGACCAGATCAACTTCTGCTTCTTGCCGAAACAAGGCAGCTGCAACTGTCGCCAGCGCACCGCCCAGACTGTGACCAGTAAAGACAATTCTATTCCACGGATACTGTTGTGCGGCGACCCGGACCCTGGGGAACACACAACCCGAAACCGCCTGAGTAGCGTCCCAGAATCCAGCATGGGCTTTGCAACCGACACAGCCGTTGATTCCAGTTACATCTTTGTGGAACGTGTGGAAATCAGTCAACCAATTCTCGATAGACACCGATCCCCGGAAGGAAAGAGCGATAGTCTTGTGGGTATGGTCAACAGCCATGTAGCCATGGGTATCACCGGGTTTAATGCTGGTCCAGTTAGCCTCGGTTAGCATGGACGTTGGCAACACATACTGCTCGAATCGACTCAGTATTACTGTGTCTGCACTTTCGAGGTCGGGACAATATCCAACATCGCAGTATATGGGCAATTCCTCCTCCACACCACATGTTGAAGTAATTGAAGCAGAGCCGTTGTGGTTTGCTCTGCAGTTAGCCGCCATCGCATACTGTGCCACAAGAGTAAACTCATTGACTAAAGCTTGTGGGATATCTAACATGGATGTCAGCTTGACTTCCCTGTTTGAGATCAAGGTTCATGAACCTCGGCGCTGAGCCACGTTGACAGACCTCTGCAGCGGCCAAACCAACAATAGAAGGAAAGAATAGACTATCAAGTGCATCACTTGGAAGCTGGAAAGGACAGGACGAGAAAGAAGTTGTAGTACTAGCCACTGCTAGAACGATCCATCCAATTTCTCATAATACCTAAAAACATCTGTGGTTTTTACAATTTTTCCATAACTCAGCTGGCGAAAGCACTAGGTGAGGATCATATATGTACCCAATCACGAGTACAGAAATGTAGGGGGATAATTTTGGATTTCCGCATTCGAATGCATGTTACACCAGGTGGTAAGCACTTGGGAGCACATTCTGGTTTCACCTCGCAGACTCTACCATTGAATCTCTTTTGGGTCATGCAGTGATCTGCAAAAAAAGTCCGCCATTATAGATCTAGTGATTTGTGGAGCCATTAATCAGAAATCAAGCTAAAAGTTGTGAAAATAATCTACTCGGACTAATAATCATTAAATAAGGTAAGTGGGTCTCATCAGCGACCCGGCCCAGCCCCAGTTTGAGTTCAATGCATTCCATACCCTGAAGCCATCCAAACAGCTTCCAATGTCACCAAAACGTCATCAAACATCTAGAATTCTAAATGCAGCAGGTGGGGTAGTTTTATTAGTAATATATACTTTATGAAGGATGGAAATTTCAAGTACCACTGCACTGCGGAGATCAATGTGGGTAGATCTACCTCTACGACACCAACGCTGCAAAACGGATGTGGCAGGAAAATTGCAGAGCAATGACAACCATCAATGGAATCAATCACAAGGGAACCTTAAACCATAACCCACGGCATACTGAGCAGTGCACAGATTCCGGCGAACAACTTTCATAGTGATGGTCGCACAAGATGAAACCTCTATTCTCCTCTCGAATCCCAGGGAACAGGTAAACCTTTTAAGGTTACTAGGGAATACAATCTGCAGATAACATGAAAGGAGCAGAGGGCGTCCCAGGTAGAGACAGTCATAGTAGTAATAATCTCCGTGTTACAATCGTCGGAATTCGAGTTAGAACACTCACTGTTTGTCGCCCCAGTGGCAATTATCGTATCCACCGCTACTTGGATCGTTGTCATCATTGCCAATAACTCCTCCAAGCCATGGCAGGAGAGGGCCTTGACCGACGCCACTATTGCTTCTCCACCACTAGGAGCGGGAGCAGCCGCGATACTCAGTGCCTGCAGCAGAAGAACTGTGAGCGAGAGAAGTCTTCCTTAAGATGGCATCGTTTCACTGACTGGGGATTCCGGTGTTTAACGAGAACCAGCTGCAACTGCCGAAAATGAATGGGGTAAGTCGAAAGCAGCTTTCTACTGAGCACAACGGTGGATTTCATCTTCAGAGTGAAGAGTGTCTTAGCTTTTATATTTGTTCCCTCCATGGATAGATCACGAATAATGCAGCATCTCGCGTTTTCAGACAGCTGGTCATAGTCCCTGTTCGAAGTTCCCATTTGAATACAACTTCAGATTCAGATCAACCAATGACTGTCTCTCTTCTGCCATTCCAGGAACCTGATTCCCGATTTTGGGTTCTGAAAAGGACTTGATCTCCAGCCCCTTGCGCGCTGTTGTTGAGACTAATATGTTCCAACTCCTCTGCGATTACGTTTTCCTTGCTAACCTACTTAGAAACACGTGGGAAGCGTTAGAGTCAGTTCTCAGATGAGATGTCATCAGGATATTTGTTATCATCTTGCTGGACAGCAGCACTGTACTTTGCTGCTTTGCGGAACACTCTATCAACCGCAGGCTAATCACATCCCTGTAGCATACCATAGAGAAATCCCAGGTATTAGTGGTGGATCAGAGGAATAAACTGACTTGTTCATTTTGCCTCGCAGGTCTACTGTGGAATGAAACTGACTCGCAAAAAATGACCATGGCCTAGCATTATATGATATCTTTAATATATGGAATTATATTCTCTCGTATACCAGGCTATTGCACCAAGACCTCCTTATAGAATCTACATATTACTTTTTATTAGAGTTAGACCCTTGCTTTAGCGAATGGCCTGGACTATTTAAAGAATTACTTCAGACTTCTTCTTTCTTTCTTTTTACAAGAGAGGCAGGATGTAACAAGTTATTAAAGGATTAGTGTAAAAAGCCTAGATGAATAATAGCTCATAAGAAAGGAGTTATTGTATGAGCTGAAGGAATGGTACTACTATAACAGTGATTGATCTATAGATGTCCAGAGTATAGTATACCTGAAAGGTATTGTTTTATGGGGCCTTTTCACATGGATAACTGTCTCAAACCTTATAGTACCTACACCATTAAATCCCAATAGCATGTCATCATGAACCCGAAGTAAGTGTCATATATTATTGAAAAATGGCTGCCGAATGCGGAATTGCCACCAAGCGTCCAATAAGGTTGTCCACGGCCTTTCCGACCCATTGTCACGTCCTGCCCACATTACCATTTGTCTTGATTCAGTTTCCAGCGTACAGGTAAATCTTAAATCTTACAAAGGGTTGTGATCTGGGGATGACGTGAAGCAGCCGAGGGCGGAGGGGACTTCAAACAGCGGTTTCCTAATTCTTCTAGCTTGTCTCAGACGAACGCGTCATTGGAACTAGAAGGCGATGTAAATGTATACTTTCTATAGGGTACTTAAGGAGGATGTGTGACAGGCCTCGGTCACTGATACTTCTCGGGTTGCCCAGTCATTTGGAATTCTCATATCGATTTCAAAGAGATACTGAACACAATGAGACCGGAACCACAAACCGAAGGCTCGAGTAGCAAGCCTGGCAATGATTTTGAAATATACTCTAAGCCTATTGACTCTGCACCTAAATGTATGCATGAGGGACAACACTTCAACGGGCTGTCGCGAGAACGACCAAGGGCCGACGTGAGCGCCGAAAACGGGGGCGCAACTGGCAGTTTTAAGGAGCTTTCTGAGGTTGTGCACAGGGCTACCCGCCCACTACCAACTGAGGCAGGCAATGGAACCTACATAGAAGATGATTCCCAGGGTCGTAGCCTCTGGGAAGACCTTCGTTCTCTGGGCATAGAAGATGCCAAAACCGTAAAGGATTTGTTCAAGACGGAGGCCCTCGGACGACCAGTGGACGATAAGACAATGCTCATGGAACGCATCATCCAGGTAAAACCAACTGCTCTGAGAGAACACCCAAAGAATGCTGATTGCACTATCTCCAGATGGTGGCCAAATTGCCCGACAAATCCAAAACGCGGGAGAAGGCGACTCATACGTTTCTGGGCAAACTCTGGGACTCACTGCCCCATCCTCCCCTCTCGTAAGAGCCCAACCATCAACAAGGTGTCTGGATAACACTGAGTTGAAGTAGATATGTTGGAGACAAATACGCTTATCGGTCGGCTGATGGGTCGTACAACAATCCTACCTTACCGTGGCTAGGTGCAGCAAATACAGAATATGCTCGAACAACTGAACCGTCACAAATGAAGCCGGCCAGTCTGCCGGACCCCGGCTTGATCTTTGATAGCATTTTTGCGAGAGACGCCTTCAAGCCGCATCCGAACAATGTTTCGAGCATCTTTTTCACATGGGCATCGTTGATTATTCATGGTATGTGCTCGAGCGGCAGGATATGTCTGTCACAGAACCTAACGAGCCGACAGACCTTTTCCAGACTGGCTACCCCGACCAAAATATCAACAAGACCTCATCATACCTAGATTTATCCATCCTATACGGGAAAAATAAAGCTGAGCAGAACGTGATGCGTACGTTCGTGGATGGCAAGATCAAGCCAGACTGTTTTTCTGAGCCACGTTTTCACGCACTACCAGCAGCCTCCGGTGTTATTTTGATCATGCTAAACAGATATCATAATTATGTCGCTGAGCACCTGGCTCTCATCAACGAGAATGGTCGCTTTACAAAGGTACAGAAGGATGAAATGGACCCAGTTAAAGCACGGGCTGCCTTGGCTAAATATGACAATGACCTCTTTCAAACTGCACGTCTTATCACTTGTGGCATGTATATCAGCATCACATTATATGACTACCTGCGCACGATCATCAACCTCAACCGCGACAACACAACTTGGAATTTGGATCCCCGAACGCATGAGGACCACGATGTAGTTCCCACAGCACTAGGCAACCAATGCTCGGTGGAGTTCAATCTCACCTATCGATGGCACTCCGGGATTGGTCGGCAAGATGAGGCGTGGATGGAGAAAGCTTACCAAGACATTGTTGGGAAGCCTGGACAGGACGCCACTTTGGAGGACCTAATGCAAGGCATGGGGAGATTCTCTGCGAAGATGGACAAAGACCCTTCCAAGCGTATATTCGCAGGCCTGGAGCGCCAGGCTGATGGTACTTTTAGGGATTCAGACTTGGTTGACATACTCACATGCGCCATTGAACAGGTATCCGGTTCCTTTGGGCCCAACAATGTGCCAAAGGTCTTGCGATCGGTTGAAATCCTTGGCATTGAGCAGGCGCGCAAGTGGAACGTGGCGTCACTGAATGAATATCGCAAGTTTTTCGATTTAAAGCCCTACAAAAGCTTTGAGGAGATCAACTCGGACCCGCATGTAGCAGATCAGCTGCGACATTTGTATGAGCACCCGGACTACGTGGAGCTGTACCCTGGCGTCGTTGCAGAGGAGCCCAAAGAACCTATGATTCCGGGTGTGGGAATTGCCCCTGGATATACCGTTTCCCGCGCTGTCTTATCGGACGCCGTGGCGCTAGTACGGGGCGACCGATTCTATACGGTCGGTAGCCTTACTCGCATGCAGACGCAGTAGCGCGTACTAACAGAAAAACAGACTGAATTTAACGCCCGGAGTCTGACMAATTGGGGTTACAGCGAGGCAAAGCACAACATGGAAATCAATCAAGGTTGCTCGTTCTATCGACTCGCATTGCGAGCATTTCCCCAGTGGTTCAGCTACAACTCAATCTACATTCACTATCCAATGACGATTCCTATTGAGAATCGCGCAATCATGAAAGCGCTGGGTCGCGGGGATGATTACTCTTGGGACCGTCCAGCGTATATCCCGCAGCGAACGAATGTCTTCGATTATACCAACGTCCGTCACATACTTCAGGATGGGTCAAATTTCCGGGTCATGTGGGGTGAAGCAACGGCATACGTCTTTGGGGAAAAGGCCTGGAACTTTATGCTCTCAGGGGACGCACCCGTCCACGCGGATCAGCGCAATATCATGTCTAGATCCCTCTATCACGGACAGTGGCACGAGGCCGTCAAACGATTCTACCTGGAGGTTACCCAGCAGCTTTTGGCAGAAAAGTCATGCAGGGTGGGGGACGTAAATCAGGTGGACATCACTCGCGAGTAAGTCCTATCTATACACTTCTGCTTACGAGAAGATGTTCAGGGCCAATGCTCATGTCTGTGATCTTTGAACCATAGTGTTGGGAACCTCGCCCACGTCCATTTCGCCTCTAACATATTCAGTCTTCCTCTGAAGAGTATAAAGCATCCGCATGGGATTTTGACCGAACATGAGATATTTGAGATAATGGCGCTTGCCTTCACAGCTATTTTCTTTGATGTGGACCCCGTTAAATCCTTCTTTCTACGTCACAAGGCTCGCGAAGCAACACAAAAGCTTGGTAAGCTTGTCGAGGTCAACGTCAGAGCCATCAATTCGTCCGGCTTTGTTGCCACTCTGCTTGGCAACGTGCGTGCCAACGAGAATTCTCTCTCTGAGTATGGAGTGCACATGGTGGAGCGTCTGTTGCAGAGTGGCTTGGATCCTGAGGAGGTCACATTTGCACAAATTCTTCCGACTGCTGTCGCCATGGTGCCGAACCAGGCCCAGGTGTTCATACAAATTATCGATTACTACCTCTCGGATAATGGCCGACAGCATCTGCCGGACATCAATCGCTTTGCAAAGGAGGACTCGTCTGCTTCAGACGAGGTGCTTCTCCGTTACTGCATGGAAGCGATCCGTCTGAACGGCATCTTTGGCTCATACCGGAAATCCCACACCAATCTGACGTTGGATGATAAGGATGGTACGGTCCATATTAAGCCTGGTGACAAAGTGTTTGTGAGCTTCGTAAGTCTTCCTTTCTGCTGAACTATTATCGACGCATTGTTGGAACACTGGCACTGACTGACAGTAGGTCGACGCAAACCGCGACCCTAACGTGTTTCCGAATCCCAATGAGGTTGACCTCAACCGTCCTATGGAGTCGTATATCCATTATGGAGTAGGTCCCCACACATGCCTGGGTGGCGACGCCAGTAAAGTTGCTTTGACAGCCATGCTGCGCGTCGTGGGTCGTCTGGACAACCTTCGCCGCGCTCCAGGCGCGCAGGGGGAGTTGAAGAAGATCCCGCGGGAACATGGGTTTTATACTTACATGCGCGAGGATCAAAGCAGCTTTTACCCGTTCCCAATGAGTAAGCGTCTTCCTCTCTTCCAAGTCGCTTAGAGATGCGGGCCTAACAGGATGACAGGCTGGAAACTCCATTACGATGGAGACATCCCAGGAACGGAACAGCCGGTTCATAGAGACTTCGTGTGCAACGTGCCCGGGCATTGGCAAAATTAATAGTTGCGGCCATGTCATGGTTCCAGTGCGTTATATAGAAGAGTTGTTGCTTGGCTACTCCGTGGCGCGTTCTAGGGTTTAGTTGTGACTCGTTCTCGATATTCTTGTTGAGGTGCAGAAACTAGAATATCTACAACGCGTACTCCAAAAACCATGGAATAAACCACGGACACGCTCCTTAACTGCCGTATACGAAGTTTGGCAGAAAGGGCTCAGGATAAAAGTTATGAATACATTCACATACTTTTCATGAGACTAGTAAAAAGGCCAGTTCTAAAGATCAGGCCTGGTAATGTTGTATTCCGCGTCCTTTGGAGTTCCTCTCGTCTGATTCTGGCTTGCCTGGTTCGTCGTAAGAGAATTACTAGCAATATAGATGTAAGTTCCCCTAAAGCAAGAGACGAACAGCATATGGAGTATGGCAGTAGAAGTGCTTAATGCCAGTTTATATTTAAGGAACATAGAATGACACTCAGGGAAAGGCCTCCTGTCCAATATAGCCAGATGTACTTCAATTACACCAGGAAGAAAATACAGTGCGAACTCCACATGCTACTTGCTCCTGAAATCTTCTGCCGCTAGATACAAGCTTTCTACTACATACTACATTACATTAACCGTCCAAGGAGGGATCATGCGTAACATCGTCTTCGTTCAGCCTATTTCATGAATGATCTGACCAGGACCTCTGATTGATTCCAAACCGCAAAACCTATAAGTTTTAAGGATGAAGCTAGATCGGACCATTGTAGTATAAATTAATATAGGATTGCCCACCATACTCTTTTACTTCCAATCTTCCGGTTAAGTTGGAAACATCAATGGTTCATGTGGTCTACCTCTTTTGATATCGGCTTGCGCCGATATGTTTCTTTTACCAGGCAGCCAGGATAGTCGGCCACCTCCCACTCCCCAATTCCACATTCTTTTGCTGCTTTTAGCTTCGCTCATCCGCCACCTCCAAGGATTAGGTTCCCTGGCCGATATTCTAGGCTGGACTTCAAACGACAAATGGCTGAAACGTGAATCTTGGCATCATTAGGAGTGTCGCGCACTTCTCCGCAAGGTAGAGGCCAATGAATGGGTCTCCAAGATCCATCTTCCTACAACCCATCCGACGGAAGGGCAGGTATTCCATAACTTTCCAGGGAAAAAAAGTTGTCCAGCGAACACCCTTGCTGCATCGGAGAGAGTCGTGCATTCGTGAGTCTGTGCTGGACTTACGGAGAACAGACATTGGGACTTCCTTTTCCGCCAAATTCGTCTTCTACATTCTGGGCTGCCCCGTTATGCGAATTTCCTGGAAGATCCTCGCTTGTGTTACACAGGATCTTCAGTTGAAGCTCCTGAGCAGTCGAAGCGTCTCAGCTTCCCCGTGTCAAATCGCAATCCTGCCTTCTGGGCGCTCTGAACCATCCACACCAACGGCAGATGACTGAGAGCATATTCCCCTGGTTTCAATGGCCATCCTCCGGCGATATCGATGTGGCGTCCTGGAAACCATACCTCCTCGACGTCCAGCACGTCATCGACTTTCTCGTCCGCAAACGATGCAGGAGGAGAGGCAGCCCTAGGTTGCTGAGCAGACTGCGACAAGCGGCTATTATGGTGCTGGTGGTGATTATGATGAGGGAGAAACACATTGTCTCTCCAAATGCTTACGCAACCGAGTGGGCCGTCATTCCCTGACGACGGCTTGGCCTCTGATATGACATCCTGGCGGAATTTAGTCCGACGCTCGTCCATACTCACCGCATGGCGGATCACCTTGACTTTGGTACGAGCAGCATAAGGGAATCGGTTGCGCCTCATCAGGCCCTTCAAATCGGGGAACACTATTGACAGTGTCGAACAGGCCTAAGAAGCGAAAGTCAGGCCACGGGATGGCAGGAGGTCTCTTGAAATGCCTGCATGTACTCCCATTGCTGGGCTGCTTCAGCGCCGCCGGGAGTTGTTGCCATTTCGCAAACGTCTTCCAGACAAAGCGTATCAGCTCTTCATTGCCTGCTTCCAGAAGACTAATCTTGTCCAGCATTTCAGCGAGAAAGCGGACAACGTAAGTTCCGCGACTGAAGCCGAAAATGTTGATTTGATCCCCAGAGACATTAAGAACTTATAGTTGCCCATGACTTTGTGGACCCGACCGCAGCATCTTTTGCTTTTACGTAGGCCAAATTGATATTTCTAGTGGTGCCGCTATGTTAAAGCGAGGCTGAAGTTACATATGTGCCAATTCCAGGTTGATAATAATGATACTGATTGCAGCCAGTCCGATCGAGCATCTTCTTCTAGATAAGGCCGGGTCTATGCACAGAGCATGCAGTGCTTACCCCTAAATATTTTAAGCATAACGCTGCCGGATGGCTCGCCATGGAATTTGTAATTAGTTCCATCAAAGCAAAGGACAAACTCCTTTGGCGCCGTGGTGGGATCCATTATCTATATTGTTATACTGAGAAATGCAGAAGGGAAGTAGTTATACCGGGTAGTACAAATGGCAGCGCGCAGAATGCAGCATGTTCAACATCTTCTGATCCTTAATCCTCCTCTTGGGGTGAAAGATCCTCCTTCAGGAACTCGACTGTCTATAAGATGACTAATTTTACGACTTTGTCTTATACAAGGGCTGATTAAGATAGTAAATATTATCTCTTAGATAGTCACCTTGTATAGTAAATTATGTGTTGAATTAGTCCTTTATAAAAGAAGATAAAGTTAACCCTAGTTGTAGGAATCTTGAGATATTTCTATGTATACATCCTATAAACGCAGGCTAGAAATCTCCTCTTATGGGGAGGTTTATGCGAAGATAACCTGTAAGATTATTTATCCTTACGACATATGACCATCTAGAGGTCAGTAATAATCTACCGTATCAATACATATTTACTTAAAGTGATCCGAGTAGAGCTGTAGGGATGGAGCGAATACTATGTGCAGGGCATGGAGTGACTATATAGGGTCCACAGAGCGCTTATCTCATCTGTTATCTAGCTATTCTGACTAGTTATAATTAACTAGTCTTAGAGAAGCTTAGGTTCTTAATACCAAGTAGCCTGGTGTTCTTTTCCCTTTAAGATAACTACTAGTAGTATAGAAGTCCCTTTAGAACTAACATATTTGATAATTATAACCTATTTATAGTTTCCTTGGATAACTATACAGGGTCTTTTACTATATTCTACTGTAGTAATAATCTTAGATATTATATAGAGCCCTATTACAAAGCTAGTTTCATCAAAGTTCTAGATATCATCTTTATATATACTATGTTCTTGAATAGCTTTGTATATAGTCTTAAACCACTGTCTAATAACCTTAGGATCCTCCTGTTTTACCCTCTAGTATATAATTCTTTAATTATATCTTATACATAGTTTAGGGCGATATTATATAAAGGAATAAGCCTAGTTTACTCTAAGAACTACTATTAAATCTTGTGTATATTCACAGAGCAAAATCTGTACCATTCCATGCAGGAATTCTAGCTGAATTAAGAAGCCTTACTTATCTGCATCTAGCAGTTGCTTAATAAGAGATTCCTCTTTAGTAGCTATTAATTTATAGCTATTTACATATATTTCTAATTATAGTTTAACTCCAGATAGCTGCTTGCGAAGGGAGGATTCAGAGACACTAAATATTTAGGCAGCCTTTAGTTTTGACTTTACTTTTTGCTGTTTCCAGGCAGTAATAGCCATCTGTATACAGGCTTCCTTAGATAATGGCATATTTATATATAAAAAGTAAAGGAAATGGCGCGTTGAAAATGGTGGAGTTGAATATTTTGGTGGTCGCCGCCAAAATTCGCACTTCAGTCGTATTCGCCGCTCGGCCGTGGATTACGTTTTATTCATGTTAGTCAGCAGAATTATGCGTCTTAGCTTGGCCTAGTTGTGAAAATTATACTAAAATAAAACAACCTAGGTAACCCAACTAGGCTACCCAGTTGGGTTCTGGGCTGGGCTTGGGCTCAGAGGGGGTGTTCCAGGTTTTACCTGGGCTGGGTTTTGGGCTCAAGGGGGGTGTTCCGGGTTGGGTTTTGCCTAGGTCTAGATAAGCGTTTCAAGCAATGGCTGAACAAGACAACGCTCTTAAATCATATTGATGGGCACCTCTCCCTGCTACCATCAGGAAGCCCAGTTTCTTGCCCTCATCCCTGTTGCTCTGGGAAGCAGTATGGCAGCATCCTAGATTTTCAGCGTCACCTTTTTGATGTGCACTCCATTGAGGAGCCTCACTCTAATTACATGACAAGAAAAAGGCATTAGAGTTTGGAACCTACAGAGTCAAAGACTGTCCCGGAGGAGCAGATGGTCAAGGATGGGAAAAGATGAAAATTAGTCTAGTCCCATTATTAAGCTTGAAAGGTCAGGTTACTATACCTTAGGTATATCTTAAATGAATCCATCTGCTATGAACGGCCTGGATCGTAGCCACGCATGTAGAGTTCTGCTCAGTCATCAACGTTCATAGCCTCTGGGAGACCAAGCATTTAGTTACAGTCATGCCAGTGTTTGCTAGCATCTGACGGTCTTTTCTAGCAACACTCCGTTCTTCGCCATATGATGATTCAATGTTGATCCTACTATATGGCGTTTTAAATTCCTACTAAAAATACGATATGGTGATTTAATGCCTAGTAGGGATACCAAATGGTATAGAAACGTAACTTAGACGGAACTAGGAAGAGTGTACATACTTGGTGACGAAGTTACCTTTTTTTCGTTTTGTCCCAAATGCTTGCCGTAGTTCAAGTGGATGTATCTTCCGACCAACGATAACATACATTCCACTTTCCCACAGTCATCCTTCGTCCGCATGAAGTAATTGACGCCGCGCACTTTTGCCGAGTTCAGTTAAGCGGTACATACGTTCTCCGTCTGCATTCTATTTTCCCGTCAGTTAAAACCAGGGCAAGAGCAGGCATGAATCATATCAGGTACCATACCACCCTGGAAGCAAGAAGTCCTTCTTTTTCCATGTCGTCTAGATCTTTCCGCACCGTGTAGTCACGCCATAGGTCGCTGTGTTCTGTCGTATAAAATATGACTGTCGCCAACAAAGGCTCTTTCATGCATGTGCTTACTATCTGATCCATTAGAGCGTCTAAGGGCAGAATGTCTTCCTTTGACGGCACAGGTGGCTTCCGAAAACTGTCAATCAGTGGAGGTAAAACCGTTTGTTTGACATCTTCGGCGAAGTATTCCCCAACTATATCGTCTAGGAGGGATCTGGCTTTGGTAAGGGACAGCAACACCATAGCCATATCACGAGGCTCTTTCATCTCCGCAGTCGCGACAGTGAAGAGGAACGAAATATATCCGACAGAGATATCAAGAGTGGGTATATATCCAATATCGTGATGAATAGGGGACCGCCGAAGAAGTTCTTCAAACCTTGACAGTACTGTATGAGTGTCCACAGGCTCAGCATCCTCGAAAACGATAAAAATAACTTTGTCAGGCCTAAGCCGTTCCGCATCATCCAAGATCTGCATCAGGTCACCGCAGAGTTCATTTGCCCTTTCGTGACCTCCATCCGCCCTATGTAGGCTTATAAGCTGTTGTAGTTCTGCGATCTTCTCGCTTAATTCGGCTGGGTCTTGTGTAATAAGTTCATTTTGATTTTGGCAGGGAGTTCCAGGGTGTATCTCAGATGCAGGGGTACGTATCGATATTTCCTCGGGAGTCTGGGGAGCTGGATGGGCGACGGTCAGTGCCTAGCTTGATTTTACTGCCTAGGAACTGCGTCCTACCTGGGCCAATCCTCCACAGAGCAGCTTCATAAGCAGTGGGCGCGTGACGTGCTATTTCTTTCCGCATCTTTGCGTCGGATATCAACGTTTCCCCAAAACAGAGTATACTGCTCCGACCGTGCTGCTCACGTGCCTTGACCTTGTAATTGACTATCTTCCACTCCTGATCTGAAAGGTTCTTGCGAAAACCCCATTTACGAAATTGACGCTGGTATTGTGTCTCCCTGAACAACGAGAATCAGCAGTGCTTACCACCAAGCGACACCTTTCTCAGGATCGTACGAGGCTGAAAATTGATATTTGCTTTCCATTTCCTTTATAACCTGTTTCATAGGCAGCTGCATCCATAATTTCTGGAGCACCTCTCGGTAAGCTTCCCATTCAGTTTCCGTGGGATGCAGGGCCGAAGACATGATTGGAGTATGCGTGTGCTTCACGGATAAAGCCAGTTCCTTTTGGGGTGGAAGTCTTATCAATTTGGGGAAACTGTATTGTTGCTGCTCAATGAAGATGTGAGAATGTCTCAGCCGAAACCATTGGCGCCCATCCCTCTTATAAACCTTCGCTGCACCCGCTTCACCGCCTCGAAAAAGCAAATGATATTAAGGATCAGCATTGCTTCGCCTCGTTTGTATGCCAGTTGAGATATTCTTGGTCACCTATTGGCTTAGGCCAGAATTTATATGGGGCTGTACCACGACTCAATCCCTGAGCAGCTTAACAGCGATACGGATGGGGAATATAGAGTCTGAATGTTACACAGTGCGTCATGGGACCAGCAAGTCCTTGGGGGTTGGTGGTATGTGAGCATGTTCTAGGCTGACGCAAGAGGAATCGTCGTGGAATCGTCAATTGGAGCCTTTTGTGGCTTGGGGCTGCCTAGAACTCTGCCTCTTACACAGTGGCCGTCAGAATCCCACAAGGCTCGCCATTCTCACTCATACTATATCACATCCACAACACAGACCTGCTGGAGGCCGCTGCTGATAGGAATATACAAACATGGATTAACTATAATTTACATGGCGCACAGAGGCCAAGGGTAACATATCTCTTAACAAGTTAGCAGAATTACCACGGCATACTAAGTTAGATACTATGTCTGAACCCCTATAAACTGGACATACCYAAGTCTCCTGATGTGACTCCCAAGATCTATAGTTTCTTTGCTATACCAAAACATTAAAGCCCTGTAGATCTACCTTAATGCATGAGCCTCTATATATCACTAAGAATGTGATTATATGAAGCCTTATGAACGTCAGCACAGAAATGCAGCTGTGGAAGACGAGCCCAAAATGACGTGGCAATCAGGTCACATCGCCTGGACGTTGCCCTACGGATGCTTATAGAGCATTTCACCAAGTAAGCCACTGGATCAAGGTCTTGGCAATATAGGCACTAATCCACTCCCTAGTGCACTTACACTGCTCAGTGCTGCGTAGCCTAGTAGGAGAGAGGGCTGCTTGACGCTGAGCCCATATATCACCTTAAAATAATAGTACTTCTGATGGACCGCAGCCCGCTTTATCTGACCGTATCCGACAGTGTCTAATTGGAAGAGAAGTGCTATGTAACTGGACCTAGACAGGCAATTGGTGTTGTACAAGAAGTACAGGAAATGTCCAATAACATAGTCCCCTCCTTCAATCGACCCAAACAATTGAAATTTCTCCCTTCCTGGTCAACAAGGTCTATACCCCACCGCCCCAGCAGATCCTGCTTCAGAGGGCATCCCATGGCAATTTCATGGATGCACGACTATCAAAGACCCAGTTGTCAGGGAAAAGCATAGGGTAGGCGTGGACGTTGATCAATGGACTGGATTTGCCGACAGGAGCTGGTAGCCTGATAGTCTTCTTTATCTCCAGGCTGGGCAAATTCCTGCAACCGATCACATCGGGAAATAAGGCGACAATCTCATTGTTGCTCATGGTTCCTGTTCCTTAGAAGGCACTAACACATTGCAGTTCATGCAGTGCTTGCGTACTTTTCTCAGAGATCATTGTATCACTTCAATTGGACTGGTTCATTGCAACCATTAACCAGCCTCTGGTGCTGKGTCCAATCGTGCATTATTTGAACTTGATCGACGCCATAAACACTTCCAATGAACGGATTGCCGATGTACGAGGCGTTCAGAGTTCTTAACGCGATGTCTTAGGAGGTGGGCTACTCTGGGGTTTTCATTTATGACACTATCTAACCCCTGCTCGGTGGATGCTAGAGCCTGCTAACCCGAGCCCCTGCCTTCGCTCTAATTGTGTGAGAAGGAAAATGCATTGGAGTCGGGAACCTACAGAGTCAAAGACTGTGCCTGAGGAGCGGATGGTCGAGGAAGGGAAAAGACGAAAATTAGTCCGGGTACCATTATTTAGTTTGAAAGGCGAGGTGGCTATATTTAAGTACATCTTGAACGAATCCATTCGCTATGATCGCCCTGGATCGTAGCCACGCATGTAGAGTTCTACCCGGTCATCGACATTCACAGCCCGTCTGGGAGACCAAGCATTTTGTCACAGTCATGCCAGCGTTTGCTAGCATCTGACACTGTTTCTGACAACACTCTGTCCTTCGCTCGATCCAAGTCGGACGTCAACTAGGAAGGCCGACTTTGCAAATATATTGAGGGGATCCACGGTTAACTTTGAGACCCTCAACGGTAGATCAGTGGCTGTTGATCAATGTAGACGGGATGTCTATTAAAGCATTAGTGACATTCATGAGGTCAGCGCTAAATGTACTTTTGTCACCAACAGAAGAAACCATCAGGCAGTGGAGCTCTCTCAGCCAGCTTATTGCAAAAGCAGGTCGAAGCGTACCTGGGCTGCTCAGGAACTCCAGGCTTGGTCACTGCTGCGGATTCGACAATGCAAGAATGCTCCAGAGAGGTGCGGGGGGCATGCGTGCTCGAATTGTCTGCAGAAAGGTATCGGCCAAAAAGCGCTTCTCCGGCTCACCCGATCTGAAGAGCTCCAAAGGCAGGTTCAAAGTTTCTGAGTTCAGTGGGTGATACCTATCATCCTATCTGAAGGCCTGTCAAACCCTGCCAGTGCTTTGATTTTGAAATTTATTCGCTGCACTGTAGCCGCTTTCAACAGCGACTAAGATTTGCACTTGAACGAAACTGCTCTGCGACATTAAGCCACGTCGCAAGTTCCGATAATCGAGCAAGGCCTTCTGTTGTCATGATCATCACGTAGATGAAAGCTCGGATTACAAGCTTAATCTAGTGCATCTGAAATTTCCATTTTATCTAAGATCGGTATACCTTATCCTGGTTCTTTATCATACAGAGATCCCATTGGGCAAATATAAATTGTGAAAATGGATTTTCTCTTATTTAGCAAGTGACAAGGAAGCAAGGAAGCCTAAGGCAGCCTCAGTGCGGCCAATGGTGTTCTGTCTTTTACCGCCCAACCCAAGCCTTGTGTGCTGCGCACAAGGCTGAGCTTCGTGGTTAATATTATGCTCTCCAGCTCCTTTGGAGCAATGTCAGATTCGTCAGCCCTCTGCTTCTGCCTTTCAAATTTTTTTTGTTAACATCCATCTTTTGCCGTCAACGTCAGATTAGAGATTCATCTTGGTCGTACCACATAACAACCATGCCTTGTCCTGCACGAGAGGAATTTCAGATCGGTTGGATCTGTGCTCTGCCTATCGAGGCGGCCGCAGCCAAGGAAATGCTCGATGAAKACTTTGGAATACTTGAAGAACAGGATGCTGCAGATACAATCTCATATAGATTGGGTCGAATTGGAAAACACCATGTCGTGATCGCCTGTCTGCCCGGAGGACAATATGGAGCCTGTGCAGCTACAACTGTCGCAAACAACATGGTCCGTACGTTTTCAAAATCGTTACGGATCGGTCTGATGGTCGGTGTTGGAGGAGGGATCCCATCCAGTGATCATGATATACGGCTTGGTGATATCGTGATTAGCTGCCCGACAGGCAGTTATGGAGGAGTGGTTCAATATGATATGGGCAAGGTCGCTGCGGACGGTGTATTCTGCTGAACTGGCTCTCTGAACAGTCCTCCCAGATCATTATTAACAGCAGTCAACAATATGAGGGCTGCTGGGCTAACTGATGATCCACTATACCCGGAATATCTCCAAAGAGCGATCAGGAGGACCCAACGGACCCAGGAAAACTTTGGCCGACCCAGTCCACAAAGCGACTGATTGTTCAAAACTAAGCACGAGCATCTTGCCACTGAGAAGACCTGCGATATGTGTCCAAGAGAATGGGAGGAGACTAGAAGTGAACAGGGCGGTCAAGATCCGCAGCCACACTATGGTATTATTGCATCAGGAAATTTTGTTATCAAACACAGTTGCACAAGAGAACAACTTCGTTTGGAAACTGGGGCACTATGTTTTGAAATGGAGGCGGCAGGCTTGATGTTAGACTTTCCTTGCATTGTTATCCGTGGCATCTGTGATTACTCTGATTCGCATAAGAACAAGCAGTGGCAAGGCTACGCTGCCCTAGCGGCAGCTTCTTATGGCAAGGAGTTGCTGGAATATGTGCCCCGGGGTCAAGTCTTGCAAGAGAACCTTGCAGTAGACGTATGAGTAAGTAATGTCTAGATTAGCCTAATATTTCGAAGAGTATGTGATGTACTGATCATTGTATAGGCTCAATAGAAAATTTAACTCAAGAAGTCAAAAGCACAAATCAACGGCTGGACATAGCATACGACCAACAAGCACGGCACTATCGCGAACAAACGGCTAGAGACCTGACCAAACAGCAACAGAAGTGTCACCAAGTATTCAAGACATCGTACTATGAGCAGCATAAAGACATAAATCCAGGTTGTGTACCAGGGACATGCTAATGGGCTTTGCAAAGCCCACAGTATCTCCGTTGGTGGAATAGTTGCTGCAACAATGTTCTGTGGATATTAGCTGACCCTGGCTGTGGAAAATCTGTTCTGGCCAAATCACTTGTTGATGATGACTTTGAAGCATCTAGTCCAACAGTGTCAATCTGTTACTTTTTCTTCAAGGACAATGATGAGCAGAACAATCTTGCTACGGCATTATGTGCCATACTTCACCAGCTCTTTAGCCAGCAGCCGAATCTCCTACAGCATGCGTTGCCATCGTGGGAAAGGAACGGGAATAAGCTCCAGCGAGAGGCTGGTGAACTTTGGCGCATCTTTATAGCAGCAACATCAGATCCCGCATCGGCCAATACTATTTGTATGCTCGATGTGCTTGATGAATGTCACCCGAATGATCAAAAACAATTCATCCAGAGACTGGAGGACTTTTACCGTCGAACTGATTCATCGACCCTTGCACCGTGGTTGAAGTTTCTGATTACCAGTCGTCCCTATGATGAGATCAAGGACAGATTCAAAGCTATCACAGATTTCTTCCCACATATTCATCTCAAAGGGGAGGAAGAAAACGATCAAATCCGTGAAGAGATCAATTGGGTTATAAGGGTTAGAGTGAAGGAGCTAGCTGAAACGGCATCACTATCATCTGATGTACAACAGCAATTAGAGCGCCAACTTCTTCAAATGGAACACCGCACATATCTCTGGTTACATCTGGCTATCGATGATATCCGTACTACATTTCAGAATAGTTTCTGGCCGGCTGAGGAACAAATTCGACTGATACCTTCATCAGTGGACGCGGCATATGAGAAGATCCTTGGTCGAGTTCCGTCCAACCAAGTCCACACAGTGAAGAAGATCCTTCAGATTATTGTTGGTGCACGGCGTCCCTTGACAACACAAGAGATGGCTATGGCATTGGGTATAGCTTTATCGCCGAAGTCGCAAATCGCGGCAGAGGCTGGAATCAATCCAGCAAGATTAGCGAAGAGGATACGACAACTGTGCGGTCTATTTGTCTTTATCAACAATTCAAAAATCTACCTTATCCATCAGACAGCCAGGGAGTTCCTTATCAACAGGGATTCTGCCAGCAATCCCAGTTCCATCTATGCTTTCCAGCAAACAGATGCTGAGAAGCTGATGTCTCAGATCTGCATACAATACTTGTTGATGGATGATCTGGAACAAAGTAAAAGACAAACAGATACAGACAATCAAAGTCTTCTGGAATATTCCGCGGTGCATTGGCCAGACCATGTACGAAACGTATCCCTGCCGCAGCAACAGGAAATTGAAGATCTGTTACATCACATTTATGACACAGCCAAAGGCCATTTTGCAGTTTGGTTTCCAATATTTTGGCGCACTACAGATATGTTATACAAGGCGCCACATATGGATCCAATCCATCTGACAGCTTTCAACGGCCATACGCATATAGTCCGGAAATTGCTCTTTGGGAATGAAAAGAATATTAATAAGAGAGATAATATGGGATCAAATGCGTTGATGTGGGCCTCACAGAATGGATACAAAGAGGTTACTGAACTGCTGCTGGAACATGGAGCTGATGTCAACGCCCAAGGTGGATGGTATGGGAATGCACTGCAGGCTGCCTCATTTCACGGACATGGGAAGATTGTACAGATGCTATTGAAACACGGAGCTAATGTCAATGCCAAGAGTGGAATGTATGACAATGCACTATATGCTGCCTCATTGGAAGGGCATGCCAAGATTGTACAGGTGCTATTGGAATGTGGAGCTGATGTTAACTCCCAGAGGGGAGGGTATGACAATGCATTGCGGGTCGCTTCATTTCACGGACATGAGAAGATTATACAGATGCTATTGGAACATGGAGCTGATGTCAACGCCCAGGCTGGTTTTGGCAATGCACTGCAGGCTGCCTCATTTCAAGGACACGAGAAGATTGTACAGATGCTATTAGAATGGGGAGCTAATGCTAACACCCAGGGTGGAATACTTGGCAATGCACTGCAGGCTGCCTCATCCAGAGGACAGGACAAGATTGTACAGATGCTATTCGAACACAGAGCCAATGTGAACGCCCAGGATGAAGAGTATGGCAATGCACTGCAGGCTGCCTCAGGTAAAGGATGGATGCGTCAATATTGTACAGGTGCTATTGGAACACGGAGTTGATGCCAACGCCCAGGGTGGAATACTTGGCAATGCACTGCAGGCTACCTCATCCAGAGGACATGAAAAGATTGTGCAGATGCTCCAAGCAGTGAGTCTACCTGCGAAGCGGACATCTTGTGGTTTTCCTTCTAAGAGGTTAAAGATTTCTTGATCCACAAACTATATCTCTTACAATGCGCTTTAGTTATGCTCACCTTCGCGTATACTTGCCGCATGGCTTTCCTTTCTGTTGCCTGACTCTTGTGAACTCTAGATAGCAACAATATTTGTAGCTCCCATCTTGTGACCCGAATATGGTCAAATTTGCCGCACTCCAGGTCCAACAGGATACCGTGAAAATCCGCCAGTATTCAGGTTTGTAAAGATCTTGGCTCGGGATATCCTATGCAGAATCTAATTGGTCAATGGCTGTCGATAACGGGCCTGTTTTCGTGATGAGGTTGACCTTGTGATAGTCCACCCAGAAACAGGGTTCTCCGGACCTTTTTTCCATCATCAAGATTGACGATGTAAACGGGGCATTGCTTGGGACGATGAAACGTGTGTAAGTTGTCAATGATGTACTGTTTGCCGCTTCAAGTTCCTCCGCGCTCATTACAACAGGCCTTATGTCATATCGTTTAACTGCTGCAATTCCCCCCTGCAGGGAGGAAGGGTATCCAATTCCCTCTTCCAGAACCCATCTGCCAGGTCATGGTAAGGTTCAGGCAGAACTCACTTGACCTCAGCTAGTTTTGTGACTGTTGGCAGATCAGATAGAAAAGAATGAAGGCAATCAATTTTTATTTGACTCCTACCACTAGAAGAATAAAGGTGGAGGATTGAAGGGCTAAAGGTGTTGATCGGGGAATATAATTAAGACCCATCAGCCCTAGCCCTGAGCCCTTCCCCTGTGCCCTTGCTTCCTAACCCAGCAAATTATGTACAAACTACCTATCGTGGAACGTTATATCGGAGTCAATTGCTGTGCCGAGCGCAGGGTTATCACAAATCCCTTGCATATGTACGATTTTGTGCATTTCCTAGCCGCTCAAGTAGCAGTGCATTCTGCCCCTGCAGTATTTGCATTTGTTTAGCGATGCTACTAGCCGTGGTCCGTTCGGAGGTGACGAGCATAAAGTACTCATACCTTTTGGGCCTTTCCTTCTGGGTGGACTAGCTCGGAAAGGCAGTCCGACTTCCCAGCAGGATATCGCGCAAACTGATTTTATCGCCAGGTTTTATCTTAAATAACTTGAGAATCCTGCTTTTACTAGTCAATGCTCATAACTGGTCTGATGCTGATCGCACACTAAGCATTTAGTTCCTCCCTCACGATCATATGGATCCCAAAAGCCAGTAATCATTTTGTCATGGAAACTGTCTCATAATCTTTCTGGGGGTGCATCAAGCATTGTTTTGCTAAGTAATCTCTTCTCCCTACACTACTTGTATTCTCAACTCATAGAATAACGATGAATAGTGGCTGATGATTGAACCAGTAGAGTAAAGAAGTCATCATGAAGAAACAACTTACAGTTCTTTATAGATATCCCAGTTATTTAACTCCCTTCTAGTAATACATCTGAGCTGATCTGTTTCACTTGTTGGTAAGCCTTGGCTCATAATTCGGATTCTTCATCGCTAGCTCTGTTATCGCTAGCTCTCTTGTCGTTAATGCGTCTTTTGGTATTTGTAGCTGACTGTGAGTCCTCATTATTTCCCTGCTTTCGCTTCCCAGTTCTAGCATTAAAAGAACGGATGTATTCCTAAAGATCAGCTATTAGTAACTGAGTGTGCTCCATCTCTGTAAACACAAGAACTAAGGGTAGACCTTTAATATAGTCTATAATATCACTTAAGTTAATTTGACCGCGGAAGGTAGCAAAATAGTGATTATTCTTGAATTAAGTAATGAAGTTTCTAAGATGCTCATGGAGCTCTGGGTCCTTAAGTAGGAATCTGTAATACTGATGATTCTTAAAAAAGTAGAATACTGATAATTCTGTGTTGTGGGATGTGTTCTGCATCCAGAATTTCTTTGGCTCCTCAGCTGTGAGAGATATGTGAGAGTTGATTCAGTGGTGTGATGGAGGTCTTATCTTCAAAACCCTCTGCCATTGGTGCTTGTATTATAGATCCCTGAGTAGGATTAGGAATATCTAATACTATATTATTTCCTGTGTCAGAATTGTGTTCTCGATATTCATTTCTATCTAGAGTTCCCAAAGGGTAAGGATTGCATGCAATAGGTGATGAGATAATATTACTTTTCTTTTGCTAAGGAGATTATGGGTTAGTTTCTATCCTCTGCTATATAGGATGTGATTAGAAAGGTAATATTCCTTAGCTAAAGAAGCTAAACATAATGTCTTACAGTATGGTAAATAATGTAGGGTACTTTTTTAGAAGCTGTTCTGCACTATAGACCTGAAGAGTAAACAGGAACTAATAGTTATTATAATATGCTTCCCTCTGTAGTAGTCTATATAGCTTCTTTGCCCTAAGATTCTCACTATTAATAGAGAAAGGTAGAATAATAATTTTATATCCATCCCTTTTACGGAGCTTTAGGAGATTAATAACCTTTTCTAGAGCCTCTTCCTCCCAGTGGGGAGGATAGATGTATAACTCCTAAGGATAATAGCTAGTTAAGTATACTTAAGTACTAGGTTTTATAGTTAAGCTTATATAAAGTAAGTAAATCAGAGGCAAATTAAAGCCCAACTTTGTTGCCAAGATGGTAAGTTAGTAAGCTGACTCTGATGGGGTCTCTCTATATATATAGGCATTGTTAGTGTATTTAGAGCCTGGGAGGCTAACATCAGTCAAGCTTTCTATAAAATATATTAAGAACAGCCATAGCTGAAGATAGGTAGTAGTAGCTTGAGATATAAGCATTGAATAAGACTAGTTATTAGGTATGCTATTAAAGGTGTTCTCTGCAACCTAAATGGTCCATGCATTCCTAGTGCTATTAAAACTTTGTATAAGAGCATCCCGCAAGTCTTTATAATAAGGTTGAATAAGTCTTCTTAAGGACTTAGCATAAGGCTGAAAGATCAGCATATCCTAGACTAGTAAATATAGACTAAGTATTTAGCCCTTCCTTCCTAGGAGGCTGCTTAGCAGTATAGCTTATCAGCTCTTACTTGCCACTGAAGGGAAGAGTTCACCTCTATTCATTAACAGGGTGATAAAGTTTGCATCTTTAGTCATCTGGGGTATTTGATTCTCTAACGTAATCCACAACCGAGCGGGCCACACAACCGAGCGGGCCACCTCACATACATTTTTTGGCCGGAGTCGAGATCAAAGGCTATTTTCAACCCCTAAAATAACTTTACATTACTAAAACTAGCTATTCTTGTGCTGTGGACATTGCAACTGCCTATAGCCTAGATTATGGCAGTCACTGCAGCGTGGGGGTGCCCGTTGAGGGCGTTGTTCTATATCTACTACCTGCTCTGGCGGGATAGTTGGAATAGCTTCAGTAGCCTAATTCTGCTGTTAAATGAACTCCTGGCCTTCCTGGATAGAGAATCCCTCTGCAGCTTCTATCTGCCTCCTAGATCACTTCCAATTTTGAACCTGCTTCTTATGTGCAGCATGTAGATCATGATTTTCCTTTGCAAGAAGGATAGCATTATTCATTGCCATCTCATACTCCTTGATAAGCTGATCTAGCACAGCCTTAGTAGGGGTAGGAGGACTATATATACACTCCCTGAGTAGCTTCTTAAGTGTACTTTCCTGCTTCTTTAATTGCTTGAGGTTATAAGGTATTTTTGGGATGGAATCTGTTGATTAGCTGCCTGGTGGTGTAGGGGTTTTAAGCTGGATATTAAGCTGACTGAGTACTTAATCTGGATTTAGTGGTATTAATCCAGTTGCTGAGAAGCCACTTTTGATATTATCTGATGAAAAGATTGCTGTATAAGCCTGTAGATAGGCCTTAAGGAAGTCAAACTTATTAATATAGTTGAAACCATGTCGTGTCTTATCCTCAATCAAGCCACTATATGTGTGTTTTAGCGGAGAGAAACAGCCAACATCCAGAGGTTGGAGGAGATGTGATGAATATATAGGCATACAGATTGGAATAATATCATTCTCAGTGCAGATTTGATTAAACTGAGGAGTTAGATGGCTCCCATGGCCGTTAAGAATCAATAGTTGATATCTACCAGTTGTACGACTGGTAGTAGTAGGAATAAAGACCTTTTGAAGCCATCTTAATCTAATCTGATCAGTCATCCATCCATTCTCGCTGACCTCAATCTGCCAGTCTGCTGGTAAGGCTGGATCTTGATACCAGCCCTCATGGACCTTTCCTTTGAAGATAATGCATGGTGGAAGCACCCAGCCAGTAGAGTTAATATACTCTATAGATGTTACCCATTCACAGTTCCCTGGCTGGATAAGGAAGGGCTAACCAAGCATCTTAGCTCTTGTAACTACCTTAGCAGTAGCTACTAAGCCCATTACAAAGCTAGTTTTATTAAAGTTGTAGATATCTTCTAGCGCAATCCTATACTACATTATTAAGATCTGGATATGATTAAACCATTCTTGGATAATCTTTGGGTCTTCACATTTAGCACACTGGTAATTATAGCGCCTAGAGAATTGGGTTTTAATCTCATCATGCCATTTAATGAAGTTATATACCCAATTCTCTCTAATAGTCTAGATAGGAGTTGAACCACGCTGTGCAAGCAGGATATTTACTATTTCTTATATATAAGATGGTTGGGGAGCCGCTCCACATTAATCTATAGATAAAATCCATCTAATAAGTGATTCCTCTTCATTCTAAGTCATTTTATGCCTGTTTGCGCGTGCCTCAGGTTAAAAGATATGCCCATTCCATCACCGCTGGAGAGTTGTACAGGGTACATTAAAAACACATGCTGCTTCACAAACAGTGTGAATTTCTTGCTTTTTAAGGGCTGATATAGCAAGAATTATCCGTCCTTCTTGCTCAACTGAATTTTGTGACTTGGTAGATGATTTTGGTG